ACATCCATAAACCAATATGTCCAAAATACAGTCATTTCAATAAGTTCTTTTTTCTTTTAAGATTTATTTATTTATGCATATAAGAACTGGGGTTCAGAACAGAGGTGTGTGTGTGTGGGGTGGGGGTGAGAGGATTTACTAGAGACAGAGTGGGGAGCAGAACAGGCACATTTGCAGAAACACATTGCTGAGGGGCATAGCAGGTGAGACAGGAGAGGTCTGCCATGCCATGTGGGTTTGCTCCCTGGCCAGGCTAGGGATCAAACTTGTGCTGTGGATAGTTTCATAGTGCTGCACTTTAACCCGGGAGGGCCCTCAATAAATTCTTAATGTAAATTTGATAATTAAATCTTTTATACTCTTTCTTTGGTGATTTTTTATTTGTGCTACAACATATATAGTCTTAAAATTGTTGAGTCAGGAAGGGTCTTGGGACAAGGCCAGCAGTCAAACACAAAAGGTTTGCAATAATTTTGCTGTTCCACAGTCTGTTAACACATAATAACTCTAGGTCTGAACACACTTACTGCCATAAATTTGCCATAAATTGTGTTTTGCCGGAATTAATGTTCCACAGTTTATCATGTTGAATGCTATGGGAAAAAAGGGAGTTGCAGACACAGAAGAGTCACAGACCTTGAGACCAGACTGGGTCACACTGGAGCTGTGGGCACTTGGCCTCCATGAGATGCTTGCCATTGAGATAATCACCAGCCCCAAACTGCTCTGATGGGTGCCCGCAACTAACAACAAATGGACTCTTACCAAGTCCACTCTCCTTATTACTCAGCCAATAAATTTTAATTCCTTTGTTCTCAACCCCCACTGCTTAAGCTTACATAGACCCCTGGTCTTGACTCCTCAGAGAGTCTCTGTTTCTGGCCATAGAGATCTTATTTATTTATTTATTTAAAGATTTATTTATTTATACAGAACAGGTACAGGCCAGAGATGCGGAGGGTGAGAGGATTCACCAGAGACAGAGTGGGAAGCAGAACAGGCAGATCGACAAAGTACACTGCTGAGGGGAGCAGAGGGCCGGTCAGGAGAGGTCTGCCATGCCATGTGGATCTCCTCCGGGGCAGGCGGGGATCGAACTCATACGGAAGTGGCTTAAGCTTCTCAGTGCAGTGCTTTAACCCGCTGAGCCACCAGGGAGGGCCCCCATAGAGATCTTTTAGAAGTTCTGTTTTCTTGATCTTTTTCTAATCAATAAACATTGTCTCCTTGCCTGCCCTTACTAGTATCTGTGGAGGCTTCCTTTTATTTTATTTTATTTTTTTATTATTTGCAAAATAATGTTTTCATTTACTTATTTATATTTTTACATTGTTCTTCATTTTTGTACAAAGTTTGATTTCTTCCCTCAGATGTTGTCCCCATAAAATTACTACCATCAAGACATCCGTGAACCAGCATTATAGACTCTTTTGCTCTTCCCTCCTGTTTTGCTCCTTTTCTGTCCCCACACCCTCATGAAAATCTCCAATTTATAGCTTGACTGCTAGTTCTTTCTTTCTTTTTTTGTTTTTCCTGATTCCTTGTATGGTTTCCTCATGTTTCTCCTATAAGTGAAACCATCTAATATTTTTCTTTCCCATTTTGACTTATTTCACTGAACATAATCTCCTCCAGCTTCTTCCATGTTACTGTGAATGTCATAAGTTTATTTTTTTTGATTGCTGAGTAGTATTTCATAGTGTACAGACGTCATATCTTCTTGATTCAGTCATCTGTTTTTGGGCATTTAGTTTGTTGCCTGGTCTAATCACTATGGAAAGCTCTATGGAAGACACTCAAATTACTAAAAATGGATCTACTATATGTCCCAGAAATTCCACTTCTAGGAGTCTACTCAAAGGTCACAAGAACATTTATTCAAAAGGGTACTTGCATCCCTATGTTCATTGCAGCACTATTTACAACAGGTAAAAATGTGGAGGCTTCTTTTTAATTGCAACCAGAGTGTCTCAAGAGCCTGTTCCTGGACTTGGGAGCAGGGCCTCTCAGTCCATCTACTGGTTTCCAGCAGGTTGAACAGTGGACAGTGGCTGGTTCACTCCCAGTTTATAGACCTGCCTTGTTGGAAGATTAACAGATGGAGAGGCTAGAGCTGCTCCCTCATTTTGACAAGTTTTTAAATGTCCAGTTCTGTGGTATTCCTTACATTGCTGGTCAACCATCACCACTATCTATTTCTAAAACTTTAGCATCATTCCAAATTGAAATTGAAAATTTCAATTCCAATTGAAATTCCATACCTGTTAACTCCCTCCCCGTCCCAGTATCTGTTAACCACTATTCTACTTTCTAGCTCTTTTTGTCTATTTTAGGTACCTAAAATTGTCATATTACCTCAAGTACCTCTAACTTGCCTGTTTAGGTTACTTATATTATTAGAATTATACAGTGTTTGTCCTTTTGTGTCTAGTTTACTTCACTTAGCATGATGTTCTCAAGGATCAACCATATGGTAGAATGCATCAGAATTGTATTCTTTTTTATGACTGAATAATGTTCTATTGTATGTATATACCACTTTTGTTTATTCATTCATCGACTTATGAGCATTTGGGTTATTTTCACCATTCTGTCTATTTTGAATAGTGTTTTTGTGAATATTGACATACAAATTTCTGAAATACTTTTAAAAATTAAAATCTTAGTGTAGAGAGAAAAAGAAAACAATAGAATATGAATAACTTGTGCTGTGGTGGGATATGAGGCACTTGGAGCAGGAGATAGATGCTTTATTAAATTGTCAATATGGTCATGCTCTTAGACATATGGAAACAGAGAGGAAGGTAAGATTTAAGGTAGAGTAACATACAGGGTGTAAAAGAGGATAGATGTCTTGGGGAGACAAAGGGTGTGTCCAACTTCATAGATTAAGGTCCTGACCTTATTCTTTGAGAATAAGATACAATACTTGAATCTCTGTTTTGACAGTGGCTCAGTCTCCCTTTGCTCCTTTAAGAAAGTCACCCATTTATTTCATTTTTCCCTTTCCCTCAAGTTCTGGATGGTCTACATGTCATCGGAGGCCAGTTTACTGCCTCTGAGCAGGGAAGCACAATTGGATACTCACAGGTACAGATGCTGGGAGGGCTCTTCCCAAGGAAGGAGGTCAAATGTCTGAGGTTTCTGCCTCCAAAGAAAGCACCCACAGGTAGGAATGTCCTCCAAGATTTATTCACCCATGCCCCCACTCCAGATAAAGTTACTGAAGGAAGACATGAGCCCAGTGATTGTAGTCAGAACTCAGCTTCTCATCAGATTTGCTTAGCAATATAGTGGAATTGTTCACCCTGAAAAAGATGCACCCAGTCTCTTTCAAATGATAAAAATGATAATCCTCTCAGCATGTCTGCATGGAGGGAAAGAAGACTTGGGAGCCTCTCACATCCCCAAATATGAGTTTATAAGATTCTATCAGTGCAAAATCAGGAGGCATAACACTTAGAAGAATTCAAAATAAAATTTTATTATATCTGAAGTCAAAGTTAAAACTCAGACATTCAAATATTTGGCAGGTACAGAATACACTAAGAAAGTGAAGACATCATAAAGAAAATGTAAGAAATAAATGGGCAAAAAAATTGTCTTTTAGTTTGGAAAGAAGCAGGCTGTAGATCATACATGTGGCTATAAGTTGTGAGGGGGGAGTTATTTGGATTTTTTTGCCTGCAACAAGGGCAGAACTGTCTCAACACAAGTACAAAGCCATTCATCTGATCCAATTGCAGAGAGAATATCAAATGGGAAACAATATTACATGGAAATGAAGCAACTGTATTTGTTTATCAAATTAATCCCAAATCTTGACACAGCATCCATAGACTCTGTAATTTAGTTGTGTTAACTTGTTAATGTAAACCTAATTTCTCTCACTTACAATAGAAAGCAAAAAAGTACCTACTCCATAAATGTGTTGTGCAGATCAGATAAAACCTGGAAGTACTAATCACAATGCTGGGAATACAGTCAATACAGTCAATTGTATTCTAATATAATTGGAATACAGTTCAATTAACAAGGACTTAAAATAAATTCTCAGGTGATACATAATAAACCACAATGACAATTCCTGGTTTCTGTAAATAATCAATTTGATTATCCCATTTAAAAAGTTGTACATGCCACCTAAAACAGACCTCCATAATGAAATTTAGAAATTGTCAACAAAAACAAGTCACTAGTAAACTTAGCATATTTCCTTACACATACCATAACGTTGTTTTAAAAGGTAATTTCAATCATGTTTTCTTATTGTTATCATTAACATTTTAAGTTTGTCTTATAGCAGAGTCTTTAGAGGCCACCTAACATTCCTTCAATATGGATTATTCCACATAACATTCCATTAAGTAAATGGGCCACACTTGAGTTTTCTGTTCCTTACATTATATATCATTTTGCAGGATTTCTAAAAGATCATTACTCTAAGTAATGGTATATACAAGGTATTTTATGCAGAACTATTTTCTGCATTTAGGGATATTTTGCAAGGAAAATATCTAAAACTTATTAAACTTATTAAAAGTTCTTGTTACATATTTCCAATCACACCGTAGGTCTGATGCTCAATTATAAGTTTCAACACCTCCAATTTCATTGAGAATTTTCATTAACAACAAGCTGCTAATTTGATAGGCAAAATTGTTACCTAATTATTGTTTTAATACAGATTTCTTGGATTACTGGACAGAATGATTTTTCCTTTGTTTCAAATCCATCAGTAATTTTTTGGTTACTCTTTATGTCTGCTAAATATTTGGGGGGGGCAGGTACATTTTTAATTTAAACTTTGTATATAATAAGGATATAGTTTACATGTTGACCTATGGGAAGGAATTATTAGAGCCCAAAAATTTTATCCCAAATATAGGAAGAATTTGGAAGAGAAAAGCATTCATGTGCTGTGGGCAACTGGAATTGAGCCAGCATTATGAAATCATTCCACCAAGCCATTAAAGATAGGGACAGTGGGGTGATAAGGGTCACCTGCTGCCCACAGCTGAGAGGTCCTTGTCACAGCTGATCTTGAAGATGGCTATCACCCGCGTTCTGATCTGTTTGGTCTTGGCACCATAGATGAGAGGATTGATTACTGGCGGCAGAAGCAGGTAAACATCACCCATGAGAACATGCACGATGGGATCAAGGCTATTTCCAAAACGGTGCACCACGGAGAGGCCAATGAGAGGCACGTAAAAGGCCAGTACCACACTAATGTGCGACACACAGGTTCCAAAGGCCTTGGCCCTCTCTGCCTTGGAAGGTAGTTGTAGGACGGTTCGTATGATCAGGAAATAGGACAAGGAGATGCACAGGACATCCACGCCCATGACCAGCAGGATGGCCGTGAGACCATAGACAATGTTGGGCAACGTGCCTGTGTAGGCCAACTTCATCACATCCTGATGCACACAGTAGGAGTGGGAAAGGACGTTGGATTTGCAGAATGTCAGTCGCTTGATGAGCAGAGGCAGTGGGACAAAGAATAGCGATCCGCGGACCACCGCCACCACGCCAATCTGGGCTGTGACTGTGTTGTTGAGCACTGCGGCATGGCGTAGCGGATGGCAGATGGCCACATAACGGTCGAAGGCCATAGCCAGCAGGATGGTGGACTCAATGGCTGAGAGAGTGTGAATAAAGAACATCTGGGTAATGCAGGCATCGATGGTAATCTCCCTCGAATCAAACCAGAAAAGGGCAAGGATCTTGGGCATGGTGGATGTGGACAAAGCCAGGTCAATGGCTGCCAGCATGCAGAGAAAGAGGTACATGGGCGCGTGCAGGCTACGTTCTGTCCTTACAATAAAGACCACGATGCAGTTTCCCAACACTGCCACGGCATACATGGAGAGCAGGGGGAAGCCCATCCAGAAGTGGGCTCCCTCTAGTCCTGGGATACCAATAAGCACAAAGGTGGTGTGTGAGAAGTTGCAGGAATTCATAGCTGGCACCGAGAAGGGGGCCTTTAAGAGAGTCACACTGCAACCTGCTAAGACATGGAGCATAGTAAGAAAGGACAGCCCTGGAAATCCAGGAACTGACCACAGCTTAGCACTGCCCCTCCCTTCCCACCCTTCCCACTCCTCCAAGTCATGAAGGGCCTCTCATCTCTGAAGCCCTTTCCAAAGGGGAAGCTAATAGTTCAAATTTATTTTTCAATCATTACTCTTACTGTCCATTTTCATTTTAAAAAAGGAAAACAGTGCTTATTCCAAAATACATCACTCTCAATTTCCCTCATATTTTCCCTCCAGTCCCATAGCTTCATTGCCTAGAAACTGGGGGCCCATTGTCTCAGGTGGGTGTTAATAGTGGGCTCTTCTTTCTGACCTTCAGTTATTCATTCACGCCATAGGTTTTATTATAGGACTTACTCTGTACAAGGTTCTTTGTAAGCTGCTGTTGGTAGAGGTAAAAGATACACCTTTTGTTCTTCAGATGCTCTGCCTAGGTGGAGACAGAAAAGTATTCAAATATTAGCATTTTGGGATAAGAATTAGTATAAGAGGCTTAGTTAGCATTTAATGATGGGAGAGAGGGAAACAGCTTTGGAGGAACAGCTGTAGGAAAGGTGATTCTATCATCTGATTTTGAAAGATGAGTAGAAATCAAACAGACAGTGACGGGAATAAAGCTGTATGGAGTCAGAGAAAGAGGTACATGGGCGCGTGCAGGCTAGGAATCAGGATTCTGCTTTTTTTAAGATAGGAAACTTAAAAAAAAAAATTGGGATTTCAGGTCCTCCGTCTAAGGTCAGTAAGAGGACGAAGAAACATAATAATAGTAATTTTATTAAGTGAAAATGAGGAAAAATATTAAACAGGAAAACATTATGAAGAAACAGGCCAAAGTCAATCTCTAAGGGAAAAAAGGGAAAATTCTCTGGGGCCATCAAAGGAGAGGCAGTGACCTTCTGCACTGACTTGTCCAGAGAGGAGGGTGCTGTCTGTTACCTCCTCACACCCTGGCTGCCTGCCATGGTCTTTGTTCACATCTGAAAGCTGCCTCCAAAGTCCATATCATTGCCCTGAGGAGAACTTGTGTGGATTCCTAATTCTCCTGATGCTTTGTCTCCCCTAAGGCCTCTGCCAACATATCTTTCATATTAGGGGAGCCACTTCCTTTTTGGAATGACAGTGTTGCTTTGTTCCCTCAGACACCGAGCATCTCTCCTCACCAAAACAAGCACTCAGTGTCTTGACATTTACAAGCAATTATCTTTAGGAGTAAAGGGATTGCCTTTGAGAAGAGGTCCCGAATCTTGGGAATATACTCTGCAGACATCCTTATCTGTGATATTTAAGCGGATGTGCTCAACACCCTCAGGATTCTGCTTTAGCCCTAGCTAGGGTCCTAACTGTAGCCAGGAGATGTTCTTGATTAATTTTAGTTTGGAGATCAATGATCTTAAAATATAATAAAGTGATAAGTAGAAAATTTGACCTGGCTTAACTCCATCTTGGATAAGCATATATTTTTTTTTTCATATAATTGTATCCTTCAGTGAGGTAAAAGGTGGCTTGTACTTCATATTGGTCTAGCCATCTAAATATCTATCATGAAGTTGTTTTGGGGGAGGGAGATTCAGAAACCCAAACAAATTATGTCAAAAGGCATGAATAATGCCAAAGAGGCTTATTGGAAGGGAGGCCAGAACACTGATCTCTGTATCTAACAGAAAGAAGGCCCAGGTGGAGAAAAGGGCAGGCAGGAGCCTTAAGAGGGAGGGCAGTAATGTATTTCCTGTTCTCAAGGACTTGCCCTTGTTGCTGTCCTCAGCACAGATGAAATGAGGGTGTCTGTTTGAAGGCAGTAAGCTACTTTCAGGATTTGCCTCCCGGAAGAGCATCTCTTCTTTGCTCATCATAATATAAACCTTGGGGCCATCATCTTGTCTCCCCAGTTACCTCCCCCCAGACCTCATTTCTCTCCTAACTTGTATTGTTGTCACCCTGAAGGGAACCCTTTGGGTCTGAACATAGTGGTTACATTTATTTGTACTTCTTCTGGACAGTCAGTTCATACTCTGGTGTATTTCCCTTTAACCCAGGAAGCTATGAGCAGGATACAGGGCTTCCCTGTCCTTACATGAGACATTTTATGGAATATTCAAAGTCCATAGGATGGCAAAGAGCACTGAGCTGTGAACCCCAGGTGAGGCTGCACTCACCTTAGAAAGGTGCAGTCCTGCAAGAGTGCAGCTGGAACTGCCTTGGCCTGCAGACATAGGCCTATTTATAGTTCTGCCCAGGAGGCCTATGGGAAAAGGCTGTGGGAGCAGGTCCATGTCTGAGATCCCAGGGGCTTAGTAGACAGTAGACTCCATGTCTCCATGTCCACTTGTCTATCACTCCCATAGGCTTCTAAGTGTCCAGAGACACAATCACAAAGGGCCCATTACCTTTGCCATCAATCCCACACATACACTTCAGGGCTCTTGACCATCTATTTCTACTCTTCCAAGTAATTCAGATTCCAAGTAAGCAGGCAATAGTAGCCAGTGCTTTTCTCATTGGCTGCTTTGCTAAACACAACAGGCAATGGGTATAGTTATGACCTTGGAATTTAGGAGTGTCTTTAAAAACCATGATAGGTACACAAAATCAATAATGACCATAATTAAAAATTAGGTCTTTATATTTTCTAGCTTTTCTTTCAGTTCCTGTGATAGGGAAACCCCTCTTGCACATGTGCTATGGATAAAGAAGAGATGAGATAAAAATTCCTTGCTGTAAGTCGTAGAGTTAAATACACTGGTCAGAGACCAGAATTTCAAATCTGTTCATTCACAGTCAACAAATATTTATCAAGTGCCTACAGTGTAATATTAAAAGAAAATTTTCATGGACTCATGAAGTATATATTTTGGTAAGAAAAACTGTAAATAGAATTACTGGGAAAAATTAAATAGGTTGTAAGTAGTCAGAAGGAGAAAAAATAAAGGGAAAAAGAGAACAGGTAAATCTCAGGGAGGAACAGCTGAAAAATATTTTTTCAATTCTCCACTTAAATTTCTCTATCAGTTTATTGACAGGTACACATGATTCCCAGAACATATTATTAATGAGACTCTTCCTTAATATTCCAAGTATCTAACACAAAAAGAAAACTGACACATTTTAAAACAGTAGATATTTAAAAAATAATTACCCAATATACATGCCTACATAGTTCCTCTCATCAGTGAACAAAATATCTAGTCAATAGTAGTAAGAAATATGTGTCACCGCACATAGGATTTGAAAATAGTAGGGATACTTTCATAAGTTGTCAATCAAGAATATGGCCACACTGATTAAGTTCAGCTTGGGCAATTCTTTTCTGAAGGCTCTGCCTTTGTACTCCAGGTTCCAAATAACAGTGAATTAACAGTATTAATACCACCATTAAACATATCCAACACATCCTATAGTGGCCCCTACTGAAATCATGCTCTCCTGGCTGGCCTATGCCCAGGACCCTCTGCAGGCCTGGGCTGGTCTCCCTTGTCTCCCATTCTCCTGCAGGCCCCACTCTGAGGCTGAGCTGCTGCAAGCTCCTCAGGGCTTTTTCTCAGCTGTGGCCAGAAAGAATGGCCCTTGGCTCAGCAGGGGGCACCTGGAGCCTGGAGATCTAGGGAGGTTGCTTCACTCCTGCTTATCCAGGCAGGGAGCTGCTGGGGGACTCCTCTGGCTGCACCTGAGCTCCTCCCTCCTCCAGGCTGCTGCCCTAGCACCTGGGCAGTGTCTATGGCTTCAGCTGGCTTCACCTGGTACAGGCTCTGATTACAAGCCCCCTTGTGGTTCATTTACTTGGAAGCAGAGTTCACTAATTTTTGAACGCATTTTCCAGGGAAGGACTTACATATTGGAGACATTAGAGGGGAAGCCTGAAGACATGGACAATAGGTATGCAAAGATTTCTGAGGAAGACTAGTCCAGGAAGAAGGAATTGAAACCACAGAGAGTTCTAGAAGGAGTGTATGTGGTGGTTTGGAACAATAGGGAGACCACTGCCTGAACAGAGAAAGCAAGAGGGAATGAAGCAGGGATATGAAGTCAGATTGATAGAGGATTGTATCAGACAGGGCTGTTTAGGATATTTAAGAGAAATGTAGGTTTTTCTCTTTGGATTCTGAATACAAGTGGTTACAACAGAAGCTTGGTTTGAGACTTTTTTTTTTTTTAAAGGAACGTCCCCCCAGTTTGTTGTGACAATGTGACATGTGCCCTGGGAGTAAGGTGGTGGTGGTGGGAGTTTCTATAGCAATAGAGCAAGTGAACATATTAGCTATCTGAAATTTCTTTTTCTCCTCCATCCCATTTTTAGGACTCTCAGAATCTCCATTCTTCTCAAGCCCAAGTTACTCTTTCCTTTTTCCTTTTTCTTCCTTCTCTATACTTTAAGTAACACATGAAAGCAAACAAAAACCCAGTCTGTAAGCCCCCATTATCTATACTTTTTCACTTATTCCCAATAAACAATAAGTCACAGTCTTGAGAGGTACACAGCATTGGTTGTGGGGAGTATGGTTACAGTAGCTTCTGAAAAGAGGGTGATGGATGTGTGGGAATGAGAAAGAAGCCCACAGTCTGAAGGAGAACCTGGAAAGAACACCAGACATACTGAATACTTCAGAAAGCAGGGAAAACTTTCTGAAGCAGCCTTTGTATTTCTTTTTTTAAGATTTATTTATTTATTTATTCATACAGAACTGGGGTACAGGCCAGAGATGCAGAGGGTGAGAGGATTCACCAGGGACAGAGTAGGGGAGCAGAACAGGGAGACTGACGAAGTACACTGCTGAGGGGAGCAACGGGTGGATCAGGAAAGGTCTGCCATGCCATGTGGATCTCTTCCCGGGCAGGCGGGGATCGAACTCATGCAGAAGTGGCTTAAGCTTCTTAGTGCAATACTTTAACCTGCTGCGCCACCCAGGGAGGGCTGCCTTTGTATTCTAACACAAGAGAATTTAGGGTGATAAAGGTAGAGGGATAGT